AAAAGAAGAAGAAATAAGAGAAAAGAAGAAGAAAAGTGAAAAGAGAAAATAAAATAAATATTATAATTTATACAAAACTTACCTCCCCGGCAACGGCGCCAAAAACTTGACACGACGAAAAGATTAATATCTTCTCCCAAGTGCAGGAGTGTCAAAGTAATAAATAACCCGACAAGACCGGGGTCGAACCACAGGGAGGTTAATTGTATAAATTATAAATAATTATAAACAACAACAACAATAATAACAACAACAACAACAATAATAGTAGTAGTAGTAGTAGTAATAATAATAATAATAAAGAAAAAGAAGGAGAAGAAAATGAGAACTTTGAGATGGAATATTAATGTAACGATTAAACAATGATAATAACAAATGTCAAGGTTAGAGGTTCCACTAATGGTATGTCAAACAAGTATAGTATAAACTCTTATTGTTCAATTGGAAACCACACACAAAGAAGGTTCCAATCAGATTATAGATTGTTAACATGATTACATTAGTCATCTTATTCGATTAATGTTAATACATGTAAATTTCATCAAGCATTCATGATTATAACTTATGTTAACAACAAATCAAGTTCCTTTCATAGCTCAGGTGTCGGTTATACCATACAGTATGGGCTATGAAAGTGTCAAGCATTTGTTGTACCAAGTGTTATACAACATAAATCAAGATTAGTCATTTAACAAGCAAAGTATTAAAGAGTGAACAAGATAACAAATATAAAACATGTTAGTATCAAACATTAAAATTCATATTAAGTTTACACTATACTTATTCTTACACCATTAGTGTAACCTTTTCACATTGACATAATAAACTTAGCTAGACATAATGAAAGAAAGAAAAATAAATAAACAAAATAAGAACATAAATAAGATAAGAGTTAACAAAGCAAAAAAAAGGAATTGAAAGGCATAAACTTGGTATTAATGAAAGCAAAGCATAAACATTACAAAAAATACAAAGAGAGAAAGCAAGAGCATGATCTTGATCTGGAAACCAAGATGCATAAATGCATGGAAAATGCCTCCTTTTATAGGCCAAAATTAGGAAGTATTGATTTGATGACTAATTGATGAGTGGGTGACCAACTCTTAACTTGGTGACAATCCTTATCTTCTCTTGTCTGCCCAAAACGTCATTGATAACGTCAAAATTGGAGCCACTTGAAACATGAAAGTTGTAGGAAATTGTCTCAGCTTTCTTGTGTAAAAAATTCAACTCATTTTGACTTCTAGAACTCTAGATATGGCCAAACTACTAAATAGTGCTCGGGCTAGAGGACAGATTCGGGCTTCTTTGTTGTTGCAATAATTTGGACTTGAAAATGGCCTTTTTAGATCTTGGGCTCCATATGAAAGTTGTAGGCCTATGTCTTACCTTTCCATCCATATAAATTGGACCTAAATCTGATATCTACAACTCTAGATATGACCCAATTACCGCACAATGTTCCGGTATGGACTGCACCGGCATCTCTTTTCTAAGTTTGGTCATCTCTTTGCCCTTGCAATTTAAGTTCTTAAAGTCATCAATCAATCCTTTCATTTATGTGATAGGCCTGCATTTAAAATGAACATTTACCACAAATTAAAGGTATTTTATATTATTAGATATATTATTATAAAACATGCTGTAGTTAAGGAGTTATTGATACTTCAAGTGCAAAATGATGATATAAAACCATGATAAAAATGCACTTTTAAGTACTAATCACTGGTGTCTGCTACTTGTCAATTATCCTTAGCTAACCAGGACCTATTAACCTTGGATTTAGCAACACATATTGGGTCATGCTGGGAGGTCGGGCCTATCGCTGATGGGTCTTACTACTTGGCATAGCCCAAGTTATTAGATCTTGGTTGCAAAGGGGCCCAACGATGTTAGACTTAGAGGCAGTAAGACCCATTTGAATGGTGGGTCTTGTTGCGAGCAAGGCCCAATGTTGTTGGGTTATGCTTATAAGCAGGGCCTAATGCAACCATGGATTTAACTACGCGGCCAAATCTAATCTTAATATAATATCTTTTAAAAAAGGTATGTTAAAAAATAATACAAAAATATCAAAAGAATATTAATGTGAAGTCAAAAATAAATTTTGAATATTAGGTCCTCCTAGGCAACAAAACCCAATACTGTTGACACTTGTTAGAAGTGTTTTGGGCCTCGCTTTGCAGCTAGGTCCAACAGCGTTGTGCTCAGTTATCAAGCAAGCAAGACCCAACAGTTTTTGGCAGAGAAGGCAACACCTCCAATCGCAATTCTTAACCAAAAACACAATAGAGGAACCCCTCCTCAGGCGCTACAGTAGGACCCAACACTATTGATATTTGTTGGAAGTGTTTTGGACCTAGCTTGGCAGTCAAACCCAACAATATTAGATCCAACTACCATGCAAAACCTAACAGCTTTTGGTAGAGAAGGCAATGTCCTCAAGCACTGTAATATTGTCAACAGTGCAAATACTTTATATCTACAGTGCAAAAGCAATTGTGCAAATTCAAAGTTAATTGTCTCTTGGTCTATAATGTAGGTACAATAAATCCACAGTAAATTGTCTCTTAGTCCATAGTGCATGTATTTATAATAAAAATCTCATATGTTTTAGAGTTTTATTAAGAATTATGAATAATTGGAAAAAAAAAATACTCTTAGAAGTTCCATCTATTGAACGAACAACTTTCTCTTATGAGGCAAGGGTAGTATAAAACAAGTTTATCTTTGATTTAGGAAAATTTAGATATTTTATTTATGTTATGTAATGAATCGGATCATTTAAAAAAAATGATAAAAATGTATAAGTAAAGGACTTGTTAACATGGTTTTTAACATAAAAAAATCAATCATAAATTCAAAATTTGATACATATTAGACGATATTCTTTTTAAATACTAAGAATATGACATATTAGATAACATCGTTTTTTTTAAAAAAAAAAATGAGATTGTAACATATTAGATCGATCTAGATCAACCCTAGCTAACCTACAAACCCTACTACTTAAGTTATGAAACCATAATAACTCTATAGAAAGTAAAGCAAAATAAAGTAGGAAGTTTAATTTTCAATAAGCAAAAATATTTAAAGATAAAAATTTAATATATATTAAATTTTAAAAAAGAACAAGAAAAGAGAGTTAAATTAACCAGAGTAAACCCGCAACATCCAATTCATAAGAATAAAATTATCCCATGAAAAACAAATTAAATAAAATATAAAGCCCAACTTTTAAGCATTTCATTTTGAAAGACAAATCATAAAAGAAGCAATTTAAAAATAAATAAATTAATTCAACCTAAGTTAACTTATCAAACTTATGACTAAGATCATAAGACCTAGATAACTTAATAGAAAGCAAATTAAAAAAAAAATCATGAAGTTGAACTCTTAAACAACTAAATATTAAAGACCAAAACTGAAAAGAAAAATAATTATATAAAAAATATGAAAAAAAAACAAATTGATTCATCGGGCTTACTTTTTAAGCCCGCAACTCGTTTCATGAAACTAAAATAATATGTACAAAAAAATTGAAAAAAATTGCAAATCTTAAATCTCAATTCTCAAACCAACCTAAAGTTGAAGGGGAAAAAATAAAAATAGAAATTCAATAAAAAAACTTAAGTCAACTTAGGTTAACCAGTCAAATATGTAACCTAAATCATAAAACTAGAATAACCCCATGAAAAATAAAGCAAAATAAAATTACAAAATCTAATCTTCAGCCCACCAATGTTGAAAGATAAAATTTTAAAAAAATCAATTCTAAAAAAAGACCTAAAAAGAAGACTAGAGTCAACCCTGACTAACCTTCCAAACTCGTAATTTAAATCATGAGACTAAGATAACCATATAGAAAGCAAATAAAAAAAATCATAAAATTTAATTATCAATTAACTCAATAATAAGATATGTAATTGAAAAAATAATAATCCAAAACATAAAAATAAAACAACAATTAAAAAAAAAACAGATTTGACATTAAAATAAAATAACAAGTCATCTTGCTATTTTGGAGAAAATAGGTTTGAAAATTGAGAAGATAAGAGAGAAAATAAAGATAAGAAAAGAAATAAAAAAAAAAAAGTCGCCACATGCCTTAACTAATAACAAGCACTGCACTACCATGACAAATTCCACAAGATGCTTATAGAAACATCGAGGATTACAAAAAGCAAAACATATGACAACAGTTCAATGGGTTTCTTCACGCTTACATATTAGTATATGCAATGATCGTGTTAGTGTTTTTTTCATAACCTATTCACTCAAATCTATATAATTGTTATTATTTACCCAAATTTATATAATTATTATTATTTTAAATCAATAAAATTAAACTTTTTTAGCAAAATCAACATCGCATGATTCTAATTTCTAGGCAATCAAAAGCATTGTTAAAAATAAATTTAATTCTAAAAAAAAAATTAAAAAAAAATGACCAAAACAATACAATGGGGGTGGAATCTTCCCCTAACCTTCAATTCAATCCCTGATTTAACAGCCTATTTGAAATCATATTACATGCTGCATTGAATTCAATTTATAAGCAAATAAATTCAATTCATAAGCAAATTTCAATTTAATTGTAATTAGGTTAACCGAATGGTTAATTTTGGAATACAATTTGAGGGATTTTATAAATCTTTTTGGCTGATTTCTACTTAATTTCTTACCCAAAATGGGCATCTGCTATACAAGAACTAAGGTTCCTCGAAAAACTACATGCATTGTTTATTCCGATTGCCTAATTTTCTTTCCAACCATGTGAGCTTGTTACTGAGCCACTTGAATAAATCTACATTGCTAGTAAATCTTAAATTCAATTTGATCTCAGCGGAGCACTGAATGGTTGTGTCCACTTCTAAGCTTCAAGTCTCTGTTAATTGAAAGAAAATTTGCAGGCTGGCACCTGAACATTTCCTGGCGGATCAATTTCCAATTGCAAATATACATCAAAAACTGAGAAATCAACATTACTTAAGGCAGATTAAAGTTTTGAAAATTCCCGCCAGCCTCAAGACCAGGGAGGGGGGGGATACAAGTCAAACCTCAGATAACTCGAAGTAGTTTCAGAAGAGTTAAATCCTACAAGTCAGCCTCTATTTTACTAAAATTGCACATCTAATATATACAGTCTTCAGTTATAGCAGTTCAGCAATGTGCATATTTTTAACTTCTTCCCCCTTGCATGCCTATAATTGATGTAATTCTGTGATCCCTGGAACTCCAATTCCATTTCATTAACAACACTGATCCCTGATTGTCATCAATTTCCCCTTGCCTTCTCAAGATCAGGAAGATCTGCAAGCAATGTCTCATACAGTCAGATATGGCATCACAAGCAATAGAAGAAATGAAATTAAAGGTAAAGGTGCAGAGACAAAAGCAATTTTTTCGTTTGTACAATGCATAATTTGACACTTGAAATGATATGGACTGCATAATAGTGGAATAATTTTTTAAAAAAGAAAACTGTCTTCGTAGTTTTGGAATAAAAAAACTCGAATTTTCCATGTGGACTGAAAGTCGCAAAGCATTCTTTTCATTACATGCAGTTAAAGGTTTGGAAGTTCATAGATGATAGTGCATATAAAGATTATGAAAATTACGCACGCGCTGCTTACTACATTGTTGCAGAATCCTATCTATGCAAGTGAAGTACACACAGAGGATGGTAAATATGATGCAACCAAGGTCTAACTTACAAAGCATTCCTTCATCATCGCTGCTCCCATCATCTTTTTCATCCTGCACAGAACAAGTGTTAAATAATCATGCAGACTTGAAGTGCTGCTATAATCATTCTTTAGATTAACAGAAAACCAAACAAAAAAAGAAAACAAATTACCCCAGCATTATTGTCATCAGAGGCATCAGCTGCAAGGGACAACAGAAATTTGATATTAGATTCAATCAGAAACTGAAGCTGTAAATTCTTGCATACTGAACCATATATTCTTGAGTTATTTAATACAAATCATAAAGCAGCCTTGTTATGCAGTGAACAAAGAGAAATAAGGAAAAGTTCATGCATCCCAGATTGCTAAGGATTGTGTTGGGATGCAATAATGGTTGAAAGAATAGAGACTTTATTTTCATTGAGAAGCACAAGTGCTAACAAAACTCAAAAGCAGCACCATCATGGTATTGCTAATAAATTTCAAGAATTCATGCCACACAGACCCATGGTGCACAAAACAGTCATGACTGCAAACATTTTGAAAGGAGTAAAAACCTAACTAATTTTTCTATAAACATTGGAATTACATATTCTGCACATTATGGCGTTCATTGTGAGATATAATGAATGTCAACCATACAATAGCAATATCAACATCCATGGTTAACACAATTCAATGGCTAGAATCAATCAAAATGACTCTTGAGAGTCTTTTAGCATACAATTCTCCTTCAAGCTAGGAAGATATCTGATTTCCTATGAGCCTATGGTGAGAACAGGTAGAGGTCACAGAATTTTCCTCGCTCGTAGAACCTCACTAATGTGCACTCCCATTTTACATGTGAAGATAGAACAATAACTGTTCATCAAGAAACAGAAGCCAAAAATACAACCCAAGAGAAAAACACTAAGCTATTCAGGGGAAAACAGGACCACACACAAATTAGAGGAAGATAATTTAACAAGGCAAGTCCAACTTGTGCTAGGCTTTTAGATATTAAACCACACCAGTTAAATGAATTAAACAATCAAATGACAGGACTTTGGGACAGGATTAGATATCATGAAGTTCAATCAATTATAGCATACCCTAACTAAGGGCAGAATCATGTTTTGAAAACTTGAGCCCCATAGAGAACTTTGAAAGACCTCATATCATAACCCAAAGAGCAGGTCGTGAGAACTTACAAGCTGACTTCTCATCATACTCATCACACCACTTGTTCCAATCCACCTTAATGTAAGGAGCAGGCTTCCCTTCAGATTTTAACAGCCTTTTCCACCAGACTTTCTCTTCTTTCTGGATTGAGCATATAATGTTCCTCAACCCAACCTTAGTTTTAGAACCCTGCATAGTTAACATCAAAGCCTTAAAGCATGAACATTATAACGTTTCAAAAGTTTGCAATGAAAACAACAACGGAGAAAATTACTAGGAATTTTCATATTCAAACACTGCAATTTAGAAATACTACACGTTGAAATGTCATATGAACAAAATTCTCAATTATGTGGCACCAGGTTTCTCAAAATTGAGCAGGTCAGTTACATGACAAAAAAGTATAAGACGTACAAGACAATTCTAAGTATTGGATATTATATGCTACATGAAAACCTTTTGAGTAACAGATCAGGAATGTCATGAAAAAAAAAATGAAAATTTTAAGATACAAGCATTTTCTTATATTCAATGCTTATGGACACTCAGCAATAATTCTAGAAAATATTCCTCACGATGCTCTTGATGATGTGATGTAAATGAAAACCTAAGGAATGTCTGTGCAAGCACAGCATTGAATTTATCCTGAGTAGTAATGTTTCATCAGAGTGAATTGGAAGCCTGGCTTCAAAATGAGGTTTCATGCTAACTTGTCGATCAGAGTATAACTGGAAGACTGAATGGCTCTATGTTAATTCATTCATAAATAGTTAATCATTTACTTGTAAGCTAACCAGAGAGAGGGAGGGAGGGAGGGAGGGAGGGAGAGGAAGGAGAGGGAGTGACATCTCTTTGATTAGAAAGGTGTTGCTTGATATTGAATTAGCAGCAAGAAATTTTTTTTGTGTTTAAGTTTTATCCTTCTGTTTCCTTTTTTCCCAGGAGGCGTTTAAGCAAAGGCATCACATCAGAAATGGTTCCAGAGCTAGTGGCAACAAAACCAGAATGACAGGGACAATGATGGAGAGTCATTAAAAGCAAAAGCGATAACAGCAGATAGAAAGGAGAACTATTCTAAGGGGAGCAGTACTGATGGTTACACAGATCGACATTGGATCTCCTGTCAACTATTCTAACTTAATCCATAAATTTTCCCACCCAAAAGAAAAAAGAAAAGAAAGCAGAGCATGAAGCACAACATCATGAGTTATCTTCTCCAAACTACGCCAATTTTTAACACAAAAATGCATAACATGAAGATGCATTAAAAAAGTATGGCCAAAAGAAATGCAGCAATTCCCAACTTGGAAATCTACCAAATTCAAGTATTTTTTCCTTCTTGAGAACAGTAAAACTGGCATGCAGGAAGTGTTACGACACCACAGATATCAAACATGATTTTACCTCCTCTAACACAAGGACCAGCAACTTCAAAAAGAACCCATCATTAACATTCTTCTTCCAATGAAACAAAATGACAGTAAACCATCAAATACACAACTGTTCTCTTTCCAATAAAATGACAAGAACCCGCAAAAGATTTCACAACTCAAAGCCAAAAGAGTGAAAATACAAAGAGAAATAAAATAAATACCTCAGGAACAATGTTTCCAAAGAGTTCCAAACTGAAATCAAAGGATTCGCCTTGAACCCCAACAGCAGAGAAACTAAATAACCCTCCACCTTCACATTTCACTGATACGTCTTTAGCATCAGGTAATGCAATCGTCAAGTAAACCTTGTCTGATCTCTGAGCCCACAGAACCTCTGGGTGCCGTCTGCACATACAAGCCACCACAGTAAAAAATAATTGCAGAGTCAGAGTCAGAGAGAAAGGGAGGACAGGAGAAATGACCTGACCTCATTGTTTCTATGGAGGGCGGGTGACCGATGGCGGAAACGAGTGGTCGTATGAGGGTAATGGGAGAGCGCCGTAACCACCAGTAAAAACGCTACAAAGAAGACGACCACCGTGTCTTTGCCTGTTATTGTCAGTGAACTGTATATAAATGAGTTATTTTAGAGTTTGTGTCTACATGTATTTTATTTAAAAATATATTAAAATAATATTTTTTTATTTTTTAAAATTATTTGTAATATTAACAAGATTTGAAAATATAAAAAATAAATTAAATTTAAAAAAAATAAATTTTAATGAACTACGATTCCAATCATATTTCCAAATGATATTTTACGCGCCAAATTATAATTTTTTTAAAAACAATAATATTAAATGTAAAAATAAAAAAATATCATAAAAGACCAACTATAAAAAATTTATAATCATGATAATTAAAATAAAGTTAGTATGAGATATTTTATTAAACTTGTAGTCAGATTAAAATTCAATAAAATATAAAAAGAATCATAAATTTTTTAAAAAAAAATATGTTAATTTTTCAAATTCATAATCTAAATTATTAAACCTGAAGTACTTTATCTAAAAAAAATAAAATTTAATTCTAAATTAATTAAATATTTAATGATAAAATTAAAAAAAATTAATTATATAAAAGAATTAAAAAATAATAATTAAAAGAACGAGGATCGATAGTAAAATACAAGATATATTTTATATTTAGTTGTAGGTGAAATTAAAAAAAAAAATCAATTTAGTAAAAGGACCAAAAAAATTCAAAAAAATAAGGATTAACATTGACATAAAAAATATTTTGATTAAATAGTGAATTAAAATAATAATAATAACTTTTAGAAAAGAACAAAAAAATTAAAAGTCAAACCAACAAGAATCAAATTGAAAAATATAATATTATTAATTTAAATTGAACGATGAAATTGCAAACAAATAAAAATTTTACAAAGATACTAAAGTAAAAAATTAGAAATTCAAAAATTATCGGTTAAAGTTAAAATACCAACAACCAAGAAGTCAAGCTAAAATCTTTTGGCAAGGAGAGAGGGAAAAGAAAAGGAAAAAAAAAAAAAAAAGGGCTATAAGTGACAAATCACACCACCTTTATAGACAGACACTGAACTAATAGAAAAAAAACACGACACTTCTAAGTTATAATTTGGATGTTAGGAGGCGTCACACGCACCTTTTAGATGGTATGAGTGCCTCTCATGAGCCTCTGATACGCCACACACAAGTCCTCATTTGTTTTTTTATTTATCTAAATACTAAAAATACCTTTGATCTCACTTTATTATTACAAAAATATTATTATGTAAAGACTAAGAGGCCTTTTTACTGTAGGTTCAAAATTTTAGCTTTTAAGGATATTTTATCGTTTTACTGCTTGTTTTTGTTATTTATTATTTTTTATATTTGATCAAGTATTAAATTGTCTTTGTATTATATAATGAAAAAACCATTGTGAAAAGACAAAAATGTCCCTTAACACCAAATTTAATTTTTTTCTTTCAATGATATTTTAATTGTTTTACTATACAATCGAGATGAGAAAAGACTCATCTATCCTTGATGAATTTTATAATAATTAATGCGTATGAGAAAAGACTTTAATTCTCTTTGAAGATAGTGTTAATGTTTTTTAGTGGAGGGGTATAACCATTATTACACTGTTTCTATTCCGCTGAATAGAAGGTCCAGAGCTAGAGTATTTTTCTAACGCCAATTAGGTTTTATTAATATGAAGAAACAAAAAATAGAATTACTCTCATTTAAAAAAAAATTACAACAAAGTTATTTTTTATTCAATTTTTAAAGATGCATTTTATCGTATTATACCTTTTTATTAATAATTATATTGGGATAATCACTTTAAAAGAATAGATGATTATTTGAATAAGTTGATGAACTAAATATTGCATGTTATATTCACCAAGCATGAACATATAAAAAAACTAATATTCAAAATTAGTCAAAAGTGTTGAACTTAGAGGTTTCAAAACTAATACTAACATGATTTATAAGTTCTTCATGGAACTTAACATCCAAATTCATTATAGAATTGAAATCCAACCTCAATATAAAATCAGAGATTCTCTTTGTAAAAGACAAAAAACAATTCTTTATAGAAGCTTTGTAGTTGAACCATCAGAATTCATTACTTGCAAGATATTGATCAAACTTCATAGATCAACATTTTTTTTT